GCCCTGCTGTGGAGGAAATGGCCCGTCTGGGGTTATCTGGCCATGCCATGATTGCGTAGATCCCTTTAGGTGCTCGGCCACAGTGCTAGGGTTAGGGCGGCCGGGAGTGGCTCCTGTACTTGCCGCCGTCGATGAAGCCATTAGAGGCGGGAGACTGTGGATCGTATCAAGGGCGAGGGGTTCACGATGGGGTGAGATGATCTGTTTCGTCAATGAATGCAGCCTCCTCATTCAATTTGTGTTCCCTTTTACATGGACTTAAATTGTGTTTATGGTAGGAAGCAGAGCGGAAAAGACATTGACCAGAGGTAATAGTAGTGAAAATGAGGTACATGGAGTCCAGGTTGATTACAATATGGGGGGCGCTTCAATTCCGTCTCCTATGACGTCAACTCCTGTCTTAGCATGTTTCTATATACATACATAGGTACAGTTGACAATGTCGCGCAGGCAGTTTGCTTTTGGAGACCCTAAATAACCCAGGGTAATATGATGGTCTGGAGCTCACTTTTGCTTCTTTAATGTGGCAGGGAAAGCAGCATTGAATTCATTCGGCCGTTCCTTGCACGTTGGCAGACAGGTCTAGGTACTTACGTCTCAGACTTGACCTTCTCCTTCAGCTGCTGCCCTTCTTCAACCTTCTGGGACAACACCTTCTTCACATCGTCAATAGCACTTCTGACCAGTTTCTCTGCTTCTTGCCCATGCTTTTGACTGAGTTCCTGCAACTGCTGCAGCTTGGGTCCAATCTCCGATCCACCAGGCATCATGTTAAGGAACTGCTCGATGCCACCACCGGCACTTTCAGAGACTTTGTCCACTTGGTCTTTCACGAATTTTTGAAGATCGTCTGTGCTTCCTGACTGCGCCGCATCTTGAACCTTCTGCCACAGTTGACCCAGGTCACCACGAAGTAGCTTTGACTTGTTCTCCTCGATAAGCTTCTTTATTTGCGGTTGCTTGTCCAGAAGTGGCTTGGCCTGCTCCATGCCCTTCTGCCAGGCTTGATCGCCGTACTTCTTCAGGTGTTGTGACTTCTCCTGTAACAGATCCTGAAGCTTCTGCACTGTCGAGAAGCTAACACCACCAGCCAGAATGTCACGCATTTGCTGCCATGTCTCGTCAACTGCCTTCTTAGCTTCTGGACCGTACTGCTCGCCCATCTGCTGCAGCTGCTCAAACCTGCCTCCAAATTGACTCTTTAATTGGGGATGGTTATCCAGGATGTCTTGCCCAGCGCTGGCCGCCAGACTGCCGATGCGCTTGAAGCAGTCTTCAATGATTTCCCAGGCTTGCACACCAGCTTCCATGCTGAATCCCTTCTTGGTGACGTCCTTCAGCTTCCGGTAGGTGTCGTTGACGATTTTGTCTACCTCGTCTCCATGCTTTTCCCGTACCTTGTCCACGTCCTCGAAAGCGGAGTCGACATATTTTGAAGCCCCTGGAATCATTCTTGTGTAGCTTTGTACCGTCTCCTTCAGCCACTGGATGGCTTGATTAGGCTCCGGGGCGTTCTGAGTTGCCTTCTTGAAGGTGTCGTCGACGTAAGTCTTCGTGGAGTGTATAGTGTTCATGGCAGTTTTGGCACCCGAGAACTGATACCACATGTATCCCAGGACAAATGCAAAAGAGCCACCAGCCAGACCCCCCAGAAGAGCCTGGCTTGAAGATGATGAGGCATCAGTAGTAGGTTTGGCTGGAGCTGTAGACTGGAAGCGCGTGGTTCGGGATTGCGAAGGCACCTGGATCGGTCGACGAACTCTCAGTGCTCGCCCTGAGCGAAGAGCTGCGGCTGGTGTTCTTCCGAGCATCGTGCGGTAGTATCAGGGTAGTACTGGTGGTTCACAAGCAACGTAGGAAAGCAATCAGAGCAAATGTGGTGCCGGCAACTATGGGAGAAAAGGATGTGAAGGGTGATGAAGGGGTATCACGGTACAAATGAGCAGCCAGTCGCGCAACAATGACGCAGCAACATCTTGTCTGGGCAACACTTGACTTGTGAACCCAATTTATAAACTTCATTGGCAGGGTGAAGTATCCAGGGAGAAGCACCAGTGCAGGACGTCATTGCGAAGGCAAGCTGGGGCGCCACAATAGCAAAACATCACGTCACGGGGATGCCGTTACAAGCAGCAAACCCAAAGCTTTCCAATCCGTGCCCGCCTGTAAGTAACCTAGCCCTGGCACTCTCAGCTGGCGAAGTACCTGTCACGGGAATCTTGGAAAGAAAGAAGGAGCGAGTAGGAAGTTACAGACTTGCCATCCCAATGCAGGAACGAGGCGCCCGACGATGATAGCGAGTTTTCGGTTCCCCGGATTTTCAAAGCTGCGAGCAACCATTAGTGGCGCTGAGTGGCTGCAATTTTCAACCAGACGTCATCAACCCAGGTGCAAACTCGTATCTCCCTACCTTGCTCGCTAGGTAGTTTGTACCAAGATGCGCTGCTAGCATACTGCCCCCCAGGTCGCCAAACGCCGACTCGGATCAAACCTTGAACGCCCTGTGTTTACAGACAAGCTATCTCCATCTTCTTCGCCTTTGCCGAGCCTGCGCCTGTTTATATTGGCAACAGCAACAACCATGATTCGTACAGCTACTTCGAGATCCCTTCGACGGACAACGGACTCTTTTTGTTCACTCAAAACTCCTCAACCATGGAGGACATTGACATGTCTTTTCCGACCAAACCAGAATAGCAGGGGTTTACCCTTAATGTCGCCCTCACGGATTTCAATGCCTCGTCAAGTTTCTGCGCCATTCCACAGCTCGTCCTCCCGATACGCGCAATCACCCACGGCTGATGCCGTGATGGAAAATCTCAATGAGCTCTACGCCACCGCGAAAGATGAGTTCGAAATTGCGGCTGAAGAGACGGAGAAGAAGACGGTCTATGCTGCCGATGACAGAGAGGCTGCAGCGGACGCACTGAAGATGCTTCAGGAGGCTTTCCAAAAGGCGCTGAAGGAGACGAGCCCGGAGATCAGCAAGGAGATTCAGAGTCGGGTCGGACCGAGGATACGAGAACTGGAGAACGCGGTCAAGGCAATGGAAGAGATGGCCATGGAGGATTAAGGTGTACGGTCAAAGATCGCTACATTATCACTCTGACTGGTTGCTTGATGAGTGTGCGGGTTTACTGTAATACCACGAGCTCTTCGTAGCATCGGCGAAAAGTTACAAAAGCTGCGCTTACAGACATCTTCCCTCAGTTCTTAATGGGCAGGGTTCTGCACTGGGAAGCTCAAACATAAAGCATCTGATGAAAGAGACGCCAGCGATATAGAGAGGACATACACTGCCCAAGGGCCAAAACTTTGAAGAATTCTTGAATCATGGTATTTTGTTGTTCAGGTACAGACGGGTCTTGTTGTCCGTACGCCATGCAAAGCTGTCTCACGTGTCTGCCAATGGAAACTTCCGAAGCAGGTCCCTATCATCTGTCTGTTCGTCTTCAGGTTTCCTGCGCCACCTAGTAACGTTTGCCCTCTCTCAGGACATCACCATACTCCTCCAACGGACTTCTGATGAGCTTGGTCTCCTTCCACAGATTGGGGGTCAAGAATCCGTAAGAGTTGCTGACTGCCACGAACGTCGCCTTCAGAGTGTTCTCCAGGGTCTTTGTGCTGCCGGCCGAGGAAGTGTAGGCGTCTTGCACACCGGCAAGTTGTAGCAATCTCTTGACAGCGGGTGAAGCGACGAGACCGGTGCCTCGGGGAGCGGGGATCAATCGAACGGTGACGGAACCGCACTTGCCGGATTCTTTGGTGGGCAGGGAGTGAGGTTCACCGAGGTTGGTCCCCCAGTAGCCTCGTCGAATGGGGAGAACGGAGAGTTTGGCGATGATGATGGCGGCGCGAATGGCGGTTGCGACTTCCTTGGAGGTTTTGATGCCGAGACCGACGTGGCCTTCGCTGTCGCCAATGACCACGATGGCCTTGAATCGGGTACGTTGACCGGCACGGGTCTGCTTCTGGACGGGTTTGATCTGTAGATCAAGACGGACTCGTCAGTAAAACACAGGGGAAACGCTCTGCCTGGAGGCATTTTTGGTCTTGCCCTCCAGAACATCCATCCTTGGATTGTGACTCCTCACCTTCATAACCTCGTCCTTGAGTTTGGGCAAGAACCAGTCAACGATCTGGTACTCCTTGATGGGGAGAGAGTGCAGGTAGATCTGTTCCATGCTCTGAATCTTCCCTGCCTTGACGAGACGACCCAGCTTGGTCACCGGTTGCCATTCCTTCTCGTCGGACTTTGCACCACCGCGGCGCGGGCCTCGTCGTCCTCGCCCACGGTCACCTCTGCCTCGATCTCCACGACCTCGATCACCGAAACCGCCGCGTCCTCGGGGAGCGTCAGCCATGTTGTAGAATTGCGCAGAGGATGGATTGTCGGGAAGGGGGGCGCAAGTTGTAGGGTAAGTCTCTGGTGAGTTTTTGGGTGGAATCAGTCAATCCGCACTTTGGAAGATTCGCAAATTCACGCCAAGAGATTGTGTTTTGGGGTTGTGGGCTAAACCGGATAAGGATGTGCGGATTGACTTTCAGAGATGGCAGCCTCTCCGCCACCGGCGCCAGGGCCAATGACGCATTTGCAAACCCTGGAAATCAGAAGTCCACCAGATCGCCCTCCCCCAATATTGATATTTCAATCTGCTTCCACATAGCTTGACCGAAGTTGAGAAGCTTAACGGGACGATACTATGTTAAGTCACTGACTTGTCTACCAAACTCGTATATCACAGCGGAGGAAGGAAATATGCCGATACGATGGTTCGCCTTATCAAGAGCTCCTTGCTTAATGACAACGACTCACTCTGAACCAGGTATCAAGCAAAGCTGGCAAAGCGGCCGCTGTTGACCCAGTCCGTTACCACTGCTGTAATGACCATGACTCCAATAATCTCTCCGAGATTCATTCGGCTGACCAACAAAGGTGCTTTTTGCCGCGGGCGACACACTTGCACAGCAGGCTGTGGAACGGAAAGGACTGAGAAATCATGACGCCACTCGGACAGCTCGAATGGGCTTATATGGCGGCTGTGAGTTAGACATTGCCAGGATACTGTGGACGAGCTGACCAGGGTTAGTTGTATTCGGACCAGCAGCCACCAAGTGGTATGCCTTCCTGCAGAAGCGTATCAATTTCCAGTCTCACAATCTCACAATACTGGCGCGAGTCGCCGCGGACCAAACGGTCTTTGCGACCTGCAACCTTGCATTCTTCCTCTCGACCATGTCGGTATTGGAAGGAAGTGACCCCAAAGAGAAACTTGCCAAGAACTACCTTCCAGGGCTCAAGGCAAATTGGGCACTATGGCCCGCAGTCCAGGCTGTGAATTTCAAGCTAGTGCCTCTTGAGCATAGGGTTCTGGTCGTGAATGTTGTGAGTCTAGGCTGGAACTGTTTTTTGAGCTATCTGAACAGCTCGAAATGAGGGTTGGCATAGCTAGGTATGAAGAACTGGTTGGTCTTGTGCATGGGCACGTTATGGCATCTTTTGAGACAGCTTGACAGGATGACTCGAGCTATGGCATCTGCGAACAGAGTCCACCAGCTACATTAGAGAAGGAAACCATCTAGGACAATGAAGAATTCAGGAAGAGAATTGATAGAAGAGAGCAATCGAGAGCCGAGAACAACCGGGACGTTTGTATTTGTGCCACGATGTAAGCTAAACCAAATTCGTAGTATGCGGATTTTATTTCATGCGCCGCTGGCTGCTGCACCGAAGAGCAGTTTCACTCTTCACCCACAGCAGTCTCGAAATCTTGACGTGTGTTCTTGCACTCTGTACAAGTCACTTGAGCAGTCGCTTGCTCCTACCCAGCCGTATTCTAATTCCCCTTTTCTCTTGCAGTCAAGGGTGTTCGCATTCAACCAAATTTTGCCACAGCCTATTGACGGCGCGAACGGGTGTCCATTCGACTTTTTCCCTCTTCCTTCCGTGCGCCTTTCACTTCGTCGTGCCTTTGCATCGATTCTTTCTTCTGCCGCTTAGGTTGCAGACTTAAAATCCAGAGTCCTCGACTTTCTCCATCATGGCCGAAGTCGAAATGCCCCAGCCAGTTCCTGGCCCCGTGTCAAGTGAAAACGGTGCGCCCTCGACATCTGACGATATCAAGACCATTTTCCACGATGTCAACAACTTCAACGTCAAGCACCCTCTTCTCAACACCTGGAGTCTTTGGGTAGGTCGAAACAGTGCATTTGGTTCACTTCTGGACTGACTCGACGTGAATAGTTCACCAAGCCGCCCTCCTCAAAAGGCGACAACTGGAACGATTTGCTGAAAGAGGTGATCACATTTGATACAGTCGAGGAATTCTGGGGTGTATACGTATGTTCACGCAGAGCATTTCGACAACTTGTCTAACGTGACTATAGAACAATATCACAGCCACCTCCGACCTTGCCGTCAAATCTGACTATCACCTCTTCAAGCGAGGGGTACGACCCGAGTGGGAAGATCCCCAGAACAAGCACGGTGGCAAATGGTCATACACGTTCAAGGATAAGAAGGCCGTCAACATCGATGAACTATGGCTACACACGCAACTGGCGGCGATTGGTGAGACTTTGGAAGACGACGGAGATAACGAGATCATGGGCGTCGTTGTCAACGTGCGAAAGAGCTTCTACCGAATCGGATTATGGACTCGCACCACGGGAAAGGCTGGTGGCAAAGACACACTGATGAAGATCGGTGCTAGGTTCAAGCAAGTGCTTCAGATCCCCGACAACGATCAACTCGAGTTCAGCGGTCATACAGACGCTGCGCATGCAGGCAGCACCCGGGCAAAAACAAAGTATACTGTTTGATGGAGCTGTCGAAACACGAGAGCATTCTGGTTACGGCACGTAGCTTTGGGCAGGTATGCCTGGACATCGGGCTTTCAATGGCGTTTGATCAAAGGGGGCGGTAACACCGGTTTGAAATACGAGGCAGGGAATACCTTTGCATGTTTATCCACGATATGAGCATAGCGGCAGTGTGGGCACTGGAGCGCACCCAGATACGAGCTTGATATTTGATGCATTAACAATGGTTCTACTCGTCAAGAGCCGCGGTGGCTGGACCGATCCAGTCTCTCCATCTGGAGGAGAAGGAGGAATGAGCACTTTAGCCCTGATCTCAATGGTCCTATTCCTGTACTGTTGCCTGAACATACCTTTGGATGTACTCTGTAGACGGGCAAGCCCATTGAGTGCTGATGGGCGCTGCAACCAGCCAGTGGCGAGAATGTTGCCATTAGGAAGAATGAAGCCGCAGGCAGTATGTCACATTTTTACTTAAAAGCCTCTTCCTCCCATTTCTTCCCGCTCAATGTCTTTCGTCTCCTGTGTCTTTCCTTCGACTAAGCGAATACCCAGGGAAGGTACCAAGAGCTGCCGTACCGGCATGTACATATATGCTGTCCCCAGTCATCTCCTCCTGTCTCGCCTGAAGACGCCGTACAACCATGACCCCTTCGTGTATGCGAGCTGGTTGGAGTTGCGTGGGAAATGAGCCATGGTCTTCTTCTCCCTACCAGCAGATGTTTGAGCTGATGTCGTGCCAAAGGTCCTTCTGCTCGGTCACCTGGCTTACCTCCATGAGCGTCTCACCAAAATGCCATTTGACAAACCTAGTCGGGCATCTACTGCGGGCGATGTCCCGCCGGGCATCTTCGGCAGCACCTGACATGCTGTCCAACCACGCTTGGACATACCGGGTTTGGTGCGGCTGAAGAGCTGGCATCTCGTTGGAAGATATTCCAACCGGTGACAAGGGTCTGCATATTGAACATTTGGGTCTGTTAGGCACTTCGTCTGCGTGAGGCAGCCGATTGGATTGCTCCGTCGTCGCACTGCTGCCCTGCTACCAAACGCCCGATTCAGCAGACCACAAAGAGCTTCTATGCTTCGTTCTCGCGCATTCACCTTCTCGCCACATCCAGCACCCGACTTCTGATCGGGTAGCTGCTGCAATGACTTCCGTCTTCCAATGATACCACCGCTATACCCCTCGTTTTGCTGGCTACCCAGACAGAGATAACGTGCTGGCATTCTAAAGCGAGCCAGAGCAGATGATGGGCTCAAGTGAATTACACTGTGCTCTCTGCACTCACGCACACCAATCCATCTAACGCGAAGTCAGTCTCATGGTTTGCGTTGGATTTTGTTCATAAACTCCGCCTGCGGTCGCCTCGTCGCCTGGTCGTCTTTGTTTCCCTTTCCCACTCCTCTGGTTCCCCACGCGATTTGCGAGCCATCACTCCTCGGTTGCTGTATTGTCAGGCATTGTCAGGCATTGTTCCTCTCTTCAGCCCGAACAGCGCCTGACGTCTATCCGTGCTGTCAGTCCCTCGGGACCGAAAACACGGTTGATTAACGCTTGACGCTGAGAACAAATGGGGCGGTATCGGCGGCAGACAGGTCACCTCCAAGGCACCTTTGAACCTCCAAGGATTCAGCCCAGTCAAAGGCCCGGCCAGTACTCGACGCAGCCCCAGTACAATCAACTGTCGCAACCCCCGTTTTCGACCCCGGCAATGCAGCCGCATTGGCATTCTGGACAACCTCGCCCATACAGCTTTGTTGTGGCCGAATCTCACAATACTCCATCGACCACAGATGCTCTCAGCCCCGCGAGTACCCGGTCTACGCATTCTCGCGGTAGCGTGGCGACCCCGACAAGCACAAGCTATACTGCAGCACTGGGATATGCTCCGACGATTCCTCAAGATGCTGACGGCACCTGCAGCCCAAGAGCCAGCCTGCCGACATCCCATCCCGCCGAATATGCCGGTAACCAACCCATGAACCCAGCAGCGTTAGCTGTCGACCACAGGTGGGAAGCAGCCCGTGCGATGACAGGTCAGATCTCATAACTTCAAAATGTCTATCCAGATGATTTACTGACTCGCTCAACCAGATGCTGCTGTTGTGGGCGTCGACCCTCGCGCTTCCGTTGACGAGCTATCTCATTATCCAGATCCAGCCGGGCAACAGCGATTCCCTGGTCAGAACCAACCGTGGAGTACACAGCTACTCCGTCAAGAAAACCTATATTTCAATACGGGGCCAAGATCTCCGGTGATTCCCGTGCTACATTACCGCCACTCGCTCACGATTCGTGAAAGAGGCCGCGGCGGTCGGACGAGGCCCCTTAACCCGGTCCAGAGACAAGAGACTCGTGATGTGCGGAAACGGGGCGCTTGTCTCCGATGTGTGATCATGAAGGAAAAGGTTTGTCGACATATCCATATCTGTTGTCGGGAGAAGCTAACACCTGAAAGTGTGATTGCAAGAGCCCTTGTAACAACTGCTTCACCAAAGACCGGCGAAAGTGCCCAAAGTACTGTATTCCCAGTCGTTGCGACTGGGACGTGTGCAAAGTCAGCTTGTTCCCACGTAAGGATCATCCATCCATTCCGAATACAGTCACTGACCAGACAGCTGAATTGACGTCCCGCCTACGAAAAGAGTATCTGGTCCCCTATCTTGCTAACACCACCATTTGTGTTTCTCATCGGCCTTTCTGGCTCCAGTTGGAGCTGCACATCGGAATCCCTTTAGACGTTTTGGTTATGGAGTTTTCGCCTCCAGAACCAGATTGGGAGACGCGCTACGCATTCGAGACATCTTACGATTGTAACGGGGAAAAGACACTTGCCAGAGATCAAAACTGGAATCCACCAATCGTCATGTTCATTTGTAACGGCGGATTCGAAAAGACGGTAGCGCAAGTTCGCAGTAAACTAGTTGGGATATTTGACCAAGTGTTGAACGATCCCCAGCGATACGTTACGTGGACAGAGCAGTACTTTGAGGACGAGGATGAAGCTTTCCAGTGCAACATTCTTCGCCTTATCGGCAGATACTATAGGGACGACATAGCGGAACATTCCATTCTCAAGGATTCTCTACGGCTTTTGTGGTTCGAGTATCTACTTCTAATCAGATTCGTCGTTCCAGCCGGAGCGGTATCGGCTCTCCAAGACAATCTCAGCTCAAAAGGACGATATGGTGCTGGTCAGTATGCGCACGTCATACCAGAGACGATCAACCGCTTTCTGAAAGCGACGCTCCTCCCAGGGGCCGAGAGAGCTGCGGAGAGGCTCCTGAAAAGTCTCCACGACATGATGTTTAAAATGGCTGTTAGCCAGAAATCATCCCAGAGTAGCAGGGATTTGGTCTTGTGCATGCTTTTCATTTTGGTCATATACGTTGGCCGAGCCCAACTTGGCATATTTATGATTCCCCAAATGCCGGGTATGAAGGAAGAAACGGGGTGCTCCCAGGAACAAGCCGAGGCCAAGATCGAAGAGATGGAGCAAAGAGTGTGTGACTTCCTTTTGTCCTTCCACAAATACGCCCTGAGCAGAACGTCTTCCAGGTCGTTGGCGGCATCTGGTGAGCCTGATTCTCCTAGTGAGCGTCACGCCCGAGCATTTGGGTTGGAGAACAAATTGCGGCACGAGATTGAGGAGCACGGTAAGCTTGATGCTTGCCCCTCACATTGGAGGCTCGGATCTAACCAAATTGCAGTGAGCGAAAAACCCGAGAGGCTGGAGCCGGGCGAGTTTGACATGAATACGATCCGGTACTTGAATGTGCGGCGGTTATGTTGGAAGGTGATTGAGAACATGAAGTAAGGAGCTGGATGTCAGATAACATCAGGATAAAGCATTGAAATGAAATGATCTAGAGTTTTTGAAAGACAAGACAATGGCAGTTCTCACACATGGTTGAGGCTGAGCGATCAGGCAAACATGGCAACACGGCAACCTTGAAGGGGTGGAAGAAATCTGTTGAGACAGGGGATCTAATAGTAAGTCTATCAAGTCTATCGAGTAGACCACCGTCGACATTGCCGAGCCAAAAATACGGCAGCAGCAGTGATGGTGGTCATGGTGTTGGTGGTGATGTTGATGTTGATGGTGTTGATGTGGTGAATTGTTGTTACATGGCATGACGTCACAGCCGGTCGCCCAACCTGCAGCCTTGAAACATGCCAGACGCCCATCAATAATAATCAATCAATAAGTAACGCCAATGCTCCGTCTTCTCCGTCCAAACACCATTCCGTGCCTTTCCCATCCTAGATAACCTCCCCCATATGTCTTGTCCCAGGGTTGCCCCAGAGCCTTTTCTCCTTGTCCGTACGCCCAATACCCATACATGTCGACCGCCCTTATTGTTGCAGTGCTAGGGAGGTATGTCTCTGAAAGGGGGAAGGGGTGTTGGAAGAGGAACCCAGTCGTATATCGGTAGGGGTCGGATCACAGAGACTGGCTTCTCGGTCAGCGGTTGCTTTGGACGATGAGATGGACTAAGTACCTCTTCTCCCTTCTCCCCCTGTGCCCTGTCATACCTAGCCGGCCGCGGCCATTACCTTGTGGGCTTCTGTGCACCCCAAGCTGCGACTTGTTAGCACCTATACGTCTCCCACACCAGGGTATACATGGGGTGACTCACGGCCAATTGGCTTTGTTGGCTTGGGTTTGTCGGTCCCTTGGGAACTTGTCAGGACAATGGTGCTATGCCTGGCATACTTGGTGGTGGTGGTGGTGGTGGTGTTCAAAGTTTTGCCGGCCATCGTTGAGGTTGGAAGGCGTTGAGATTAAACTTTCTGCAAGGGAGATTGGCGAGGCTGTTCGCGGTCGAGCTGGCGATATGGTGGTGAGATATGTTCGTGCTTTGTTGTGCATGAGTGAGAAGAAAAAAGAAAACAGGCGAGGATGTCGCCTTATAACAACAACAGCAGCACCCCTGCTCCCAGCCGAGCCTCTAAAAGTGAAGCAACCAGAGGCACAACGACAGGGATCGGTCGTGTAGGGGAGCGAGCTTGGAGACCACAATCCCCTTCCGCAAAAGCAGTGCAAGAGGGATCGTCCCGCGTATCATTTGTCAAGGGAACGGAGGTGGAGAGAAAGATTACAGCCGGAGACGAAGGCGATACTGGATTTCCCGAAACGGCACAGGTAGGTGGCAAAACGTCAAACTGTCAACGAGACCTCGTGGAATAGGGGCGTCTGGAAGCCCATATGGGTCGAGTGAGGCAATAGGCAATCGGAGGCAAGCATTGACAAAGTCCCTTGGGAACGCCAGAAAAAGATTGCAAAATGGAAATTGTGAAATGTTTTGCGGACACATGGGGGGCATTTCAGTATCAAGTCTGACGGCTGGCCGCAGATGCCAGACAGCCGGGGCAGACTCCATCCGGGCAGGAAAGCGGCATGGTTTCGAGATGGCGAAACAATGGGATTCTTGGGTTCGGATTGAGACAGGGAGATATGACGGAGGGCGGGCCGTCGACTATTCGTCGGTTGGTCAGGAAGTACCGCGGCGGGACTTGAGGCTAAGCCCAGCAAGGGAATCCACAAACTTGCCCTTGTCTCCAATACACAGACGCGAGATTCTGGTCGTCTGCGCGGTGACGGCGATGGGGACGGAGGCGGAGGACGGGAGGGACTAACTAACTGTCCCCAGTTCTGTCCGGCTGCGCCTCGCAGGGTGAGACTGGCACGCCAAACATTAACAAGGACAATAAAGGGACATTGATTGGACCCGACGCAGTGAGGGAATTGGGCAAGGCTGAATGAAATGCATGGGGAGAAACGTCGGAACCAGACGAAACTCGGGTAAGCAGAGCTTATGGATGAGGAACCAAAAAATACACGGGTGTGCGGCGTGAGTCAAAACACAGCGCAGCCCACTTGTGACAGCGTGCGAGAAAAGTCAGAAATGCAGAAAAGCAGCCCTGTCTCGCACGCGCTTGGGAGCTGACGAAGGGGGGAAAGGGTGGGAAGGTGGTAGAACCGCTGAGCACCGCCTCCCTACCACCCGGCCGTGATTCAGACAACAAGAAATCAAAAGTTTGAGCCCAAAAAACCAAAGAGATTCAGGTAGGCTGGGGGAATTCTTTGGTGTGGAAAGGCAAGAGAGAGAGCGGGAAAAAAGGCAACAACGTCGGGTTGTTTGCCCCAGGCTGAATTCTACCCAAAAGTCGTCCCAGGCCCCGGTGGTTCGCGAATCATAATTCCAAGGTGTGAGGGAGTGGGTCGTATGGTGCGAGGGACTCGGTCACGAGGTGAGCTAGTCCCGGCGAGGAAAGACTCTGGAAGCCATGGAAGGCCCTGGCGGGGCTGTGGGGCGGGACGGAGAGACGAAATGTGGATCTCTTCTGGGAAGGACGAGGAAGAGGAGGACAAAAAGTAGCCCCGGGCATGACGCAACAATTCAAGGCGTGGCACTAGGAGGGCAGGCTGAGATGATATGAGAGCGAGGAAGTGAGCAAGTCGAAGCTCACTACTGTGCAATCAAATCATACGGGGACACTTTCCTCAGTGTCTCTTGAGTATTCGTACCGTAACGTAGTCGTAGGGTTTCTGGGAAACACGGGCTGAAGGCTGCGGGCTGTGGGCTGAAGAAGGCGGTTAGCAAAGTCACACAAGGACAAGGACAAGGACAAGGACCAGGGCAAGGGGTAAGAAACAGATTCTGGAAAGTTTTGGACTTCTTCTACGAGCGCGAGCACAAGCATGAGCGCGAACGCGGAGCGGACTCTAGCGAAATTGGGTGCAGGGGTGCGAGAATCTTTTCTGGTCGTTCTGGAAGACAGCCCGACGGCCAGACAGGCGGCAAGGCGCCTTGACGGAGACGCTTTGAATGGCGGGTAATTGTGTAAGTGACGAGGAGGACCCCCCCGTCCGGGTAGGGCATTTCAACCGATTACCCTCCCCTAACTTACCTACGAGTATGTACCTACGGCGACACGAGCGGCTTGGCCAGAATGGGCTGGCACAACACAACAGCATGGATATCCCCGGGGGGGCTTGAAGGCGAGAGAGTAGGGCAGTTGGAAAAGGTGGAGAGGGTGGACAGGTACAGTAGGTGGTGGATGGCTGATTGAACAAGAATGCATTCAGACCGGGCTGGTCCTTTGAAAGAAAACAGCGGGTTGAAAATAATACATGGACCCATCACTCTTGAGCCTCGTACCCTGTACCTCGTCGCTCGTACTTGGTAACTACAAAAAATCGCACAGCACGGCGCAGTAGGTACACGTACGAGCAGGTAGGTAAGCAGCGAGGTAGGTTGATAGATACCGCATAAATAAATAAAAATAGCGGTGTTGGCGGTGGTGCTGATGGTATCGCGGGACGTGGAACATAGATCCGGTTGGTGACACCCCTCCCCTTTCCCGCTTCTCCAATATCCTTGTCAAGGTTGCTAGGATAGGTACACCAAAAAAGGTGACACCCTTGCAACTAATTTTAGGGCGGCTGGAGGCTGGAGCGCAGACGACGAAGGAAGGGAGCAGAAGAGGGTGGGGGTATTAGATTACTGAGTACGTCAGGACAGGCGTCGTCAGGTACGTCAGGAACGGCAGGTCAGGACAAGTCTGGACAGGACAGCGCTGGATGGCTGGTATTATGGGGACGGGTAGGGCAAGGAAACTGGAGTACACGGAGAGAGAAGGGAGAGAAAGTGACTTGAGTTGACTTGAGTTGACTTGACCCGACCTGACCGGAATGGGCTGGATTAGACTGGGCCAGTAGTGGTGGTGGATCGAGAGGGCAACCCCGGGACCGACACCCATGAAACCATCAACCATGAACCATGTCCACCTACCTGCCTGCCCTACTGTATATCTCGCGTAACAATACAGCGACAATACAACCGGACATGGATACCTAGTTGCCATGGAGAATCTTTCACCCCTCTCTTTTCCAGATGCTCGTCCTATCAGGCTAAGTCACCTCCACTCAGCCAACACTTCTGACTAGACAGATAGCTACCAGATCGACCGTTGTAATGGCATGGGTAATAGTCCGTTTGATGATTATCAGCGACGAGACACAGGAACAGCAAGAGTGGATGCACGACACACCCAATGGCTAATGCCAGGGCCAGGGCCAGGATGCCTGCGATACCACGATGCCACGTGGCAGAGGCGCCGCCATTTTCAGCCCAGAGTCCCCACTTGCCGGCGTGCAGGTACCAGTAGGGGGGCGAGAAGACGGATGAGATAGATAGAGACAGAGATCTTGGAGCAATGCTACGGTGGAGAGGGCTGTCTACTGCCTAGCAGGGCATTAGCGCGGAGGCTTTAGACAAGGGGTGGGGTGAAGAGGTCACAAGAGGAACCAGGACGAATAGACCGGGTGCTCTGCGGCCAGTGAACAGCCGTTTCGAATTCAGCTCTGTTGTCAGTTGCCAGGACCGTAGACAAGCTAGTGCAGGGGGGGGGGGTGGTTTGTGACGAATGCAAGCAATAATAGGAACTGCGAGGTAAGGGGTCGTCCAAATTGGTGCGCTGGCCAATCACCAGCCAACAGACTGAGGCAAGTGATCAAGCACCCAGCAAAGCTAAGCGCAAAACCCGACAGATCCCTGTATACCGAGCAGTTGTACTCGTACAGTACAAGGAGGGCAAGATCGACGAATCCATGTTACCATGTACTCGCCTGGTCTTCCTTTCGTCAACGAGCTCATCATTAAACATACTTGTATCTTTGTCTGCCACCATCATTGGAATCTTGACGCCCAGGAAATGAAGTAAAATGACTAGAGCAAGATGGGCCGGAAAGGGGGAGCACCAGGCCTCCGACGCGAGGGCCAAATACACATCCGTTTGGTGCGTTTGGTA